TGTTTATTGTACATAATTTTGCATAGCTATTATTTCATGTCACATCACTGAACATTTCCCCTTGTGAGACTGTAAATTGTTAGATAAAACAATATGTTAGCTTGTTGTATATAAATTCTTAAACTTTTTGTTCACAACAGTTATTTTATTATAGAAATACATTATAAAATATAACATAAAATCAAATAGTAATCCATTCTGAAGTAAAAAAAAAAAAAATTGAATACATCTTGACATATATAGCAAACTCAATATAATCTAACATATTTAGGGCAGCTAAGGTCACTGCCTTTGAGCAACTGGATATTCCACGTGAGGACATTAATGCAGGCTTATCTACTGCTTAATTTAGTATAATAAGGAAGAATTTTTGTAAATAATATGCGTGTATTTTTTGCGCATGCATGATAGAGCCAGCAGAGGTGGGATTTGAGAGGCACCTCAAAGCTATGATTATCCTGAGTGTCTCAGCCCAATAATGTTACCTGCTGGGACAGCAGCACTGCTCCTCTAAATAAATTGCAAGTGGCCTTGGGCAATAAGAGGAACCCTCCTTTGATCTGCCTGACTGCCAATGAGGAAAATGTGCAGGCAGTCAATCAAGTTCTTAAGGCTTTGCAACAATGGAGCCGACCCCAGTTTATTATTTATTTTTTAAATTGATGTATTTCATTATCACAAGGTGTCTACTTGCTGGGGTAGCTGGGGTGGGGAGGGAGGGGGGCAACATGATCAATAATTGATATGCGGTGTGAAAAAGCTGATTTGCTGCCTCTCCTCTGGTGCACTTGTCACTAGCTGTTGTCAGAACACATTTGCTTTGATGACAAATTTGAAGAAGTGAACAACAGCATCACATCTGATTACAAATTTAGTGAGTGGTGAAAGGCAGGGGCCCCTTCTCACTGAGGCTCTGTTTGTTCAGGGTGCTCTGGAGGAATGACTACCAGGCTCTGAGGTGAGTTACAGTCTTGTAAGCAGAGAGATGAGAAGGGGTTGAACTTTTTTGTCATGTGTCAGTAAACAGCGTGACTTGTTTGAAAGGCACCTGGATTACAGGGTGAAAAGTTGCTCTTTAAACCTTTAAAGCTTTGGGGCATGGGAGACACGCCACGTCAAAACAGAGTGTGGAGATGAGGAGTGAGAGCAACTAAAAGCCATAACTCCCCCCGGTGTGTCTGCTGAGAGACGAAGGAGTTGTCCTGCTTTTTCACAGTGTTTGGGTCATGCTGTATGGTGGAGCATCTCAAATCGATTTAGTCAAATAAAGGAAGATGCTTGAATGATTCGAACACACCAGGTTTCCTGAAAGACAGTTTGTACTGACGTGAAGAAAATCCATCATAAACTAGAAATTGGTTGGTTCGCAATACTTCTAAGCTCAACTTAACACAAGACAAAAAGGAAGAAGTATTATTTAAATTTGTGATATTGTGAAGAAACACAATTTGGCACCGGTGTGGCAGTGCTAAAAGCTAATTTATAGTTGTTAGTAGGCTCTGTTGTTGTAAACATTTATACTTGATTTAAACTTTATACGATGGTGCAAAAAACCCAACACCAAAAACGCCAGTTGGCGGTGGGGTTTCTATGCCACTGTGTTTTTTTGTGTCCCTAAAACAATGGTGACTGAAACTGAGCAGACCATGTTGGAGCTGTAGCTAATAAATGTTCAACAACAGTAACCTTGAACTGAAATTAGATCCATATCGATCTTTGCGGAAAACTCTTCCCATGAATTTACTGCCATCTGTGATGTGGTCAAGATTTCGTACAAAGTACATATTTACGGACTTCCTCGGTTAACCTCTCCTCGATTTGGTCCAGGTTTGGTCAACTCATGTTCAAGAAGCCAATGCGTTGGGTCCATCACAGTTGCTGCGTTCTGCCACAAAACTGTAAATAGAGCAAGGTTATAAAACAGGTATAATCTTAGATGTACAGTAGTTGCGTAGATGTTTGCCTTTAAGTACGATTTTTGCACCTAAACGATCACCTGCAGGTCATCAGAATCAAACTAAGAGAAAATCTGTATGGTGATTTCATTGCTAAGAGTAGTTCTTAATTAGTCTAAATGTTGTTTTTAATTACATGTACGGAGTGGAGATTTACTGCAAACTTTAAAACTAAATCCTGATGGGGAAATAGTTCAACACAAAATCTCAAAGACAGCAAAACAAACAACATATCAACAACTCAACATAATTGACAGCTGCATCCATTTGCTCGGTCCAAGCCCCCTCCTCCTGCTTTTCCACTCTGTTCTTCCAACACCATTTCCTCTTTTAATTATCCCCCAGCAAAAAGATGGAGCACATCAGACGCATCGCGGTAAATCCTGGCCCTGGCACAGGCTCATAGTGGCTCCTGCGTCTGGCAATCCCGATAGAGCCTGTGCGCTGGCAGTGACAAGAGAGGGAGGATGCCTGGAGATTTTCTGACAGAAAGAATGGAGAGGATGATCTCTCAGCAAAAGAGAGGTCCTCATTCTACTCCCGGCGTGGGAGGCTTTTTGGCTAGCTCTTTCCGATCATACCACATTTTCAGCACCAGATTAGCCAGTTCTCGGGAGCAAAACTCACATAGACCCCTTGTTTACACCTCAGTACGACAGTGTTTTTGTAATGACTGTTCAGTAAAAGAGCACATTGGAGACACTGCAAGCACGGCTGCTCTCCTATCTCTCCCTACAACATTTTAGGGGTGAGACTTACTGTATATAGCAGGGTCAGAGACACCATGGTTTTGGATTAAGGGAATATGATTTGTTTTGAATTGAAAGAAGTCTCCTCTGACCTGAAATATGTTTTACTGCGTGAATTGCACATTCACATTATAATTAGGTATCAGCTACACGAATGGGTTTTTCTTTTGGAAGCTGGATAGATGAAAAAGGTTGCAAGTTAACTAGTGCTGGGGTTGCTATCCGTCAAAGTTTCTCCTATCTCTGTGGGGTGCACATCAATCACAGAGGTCCCAAACTGACAGTCATTCTGCGGGCTAATAGTGTCGTCATCTCCCACGCGATTACACAGATTGCACAATGAGATCCTCGGACACAATGGAGCTGCAAATCTAGCCCCCCACTCTGTTCCCCTCTCCTTTCCTTTTCTTCCATCATACTGAGATGAAGAGTAGAATGCTCCACAGCGGGTAGCTTTCTTCTTCTCCAGGGGGGAATTGAGAAAGCAGGCAAGGGCCTCTGTGATGTTACTTTCCCTTCAGGGTGGGGAGGAGATGGCTTGTAGCACAGCTAAAGATGATCATTTGAGAGCCTGTGGAACAAGGTTCCCCTCTGGAAGCCACAGAGATATGGAGAGAGCCAAGGTCCCGACTAATGAGTCAGGGTTAGCTGATGTTCCTCAGTGATGAAAAAGAGAACAATGACAATGATGGTAGTGGGTTTCTTTTTAAAACTTGGTTTAGACATTACATTGCACCTCAGAGTTACACGTTTCTCTCAACACAAAGGTCAGATGTTAGACTGAGTAGCAGCCTTGGAGCTGGTAAAGTCCCGCTCAAAGAGACCTCAGAAAACACTCGCTACTGTTTCACGCAGAGCTTAAACAAGTGCTTTCCAGCCAGAATATGATTTCCATGTCATTCTGCTGCCCTCTTGAATCAAGACTGAGTACAAAGACTTTATATTTAATAGGCACGATGAAAGAAATCATTAATCTATGAATTAATATACGATGAAAATCTAAACATTTGTTTCTTATATGTTCTGATAAAACCATTCCTCCTGGAGTAAATATTTGCTCAAGAAGCTCACAAAACAAAACAACATCCCATCTGATAATCTGCCACAATTACGTTGCACACTGTGATGAAAGGATATCAATGATCTACTTATGTCATAGGAAAAGAGTGCAGCCTCAAACATGAAAGCTATTGAAGCCTATGAGAGTTTCAAGTCAATGAATGATCAAAGGAGCAAAAGCTTATCAACGCTGTTCCTTAACACTGAAATAGTGTCATATGGCTCTGGATATACTACCACAGTAGCAGTGTTTTTGCCCAGGAACATAATGGCTATTGTGTTTTCTGAAAACATTTGCCTTTTTACACAGTTGAAGCTGCAAAAAAGCACACAAAGTGGAGAGGGGGCACAAGCCCTTTATCCTGATGAAAGGCTAAAGGATGAGACTGACCTTTCTGGCATCAGCTGGGCTTTGGGAACACAATACATGGCGGCAACTCTTTCTGGCCTTTTCCCCTTCAGCTCTGGGCTATGCTTACAAGCCAAAGACTCCAGTCCAATCATTTTATACAAAGATTCAAACGTACAGATGCCCCAAAACCCCTCCTTTTATATCACACAAACACACACACAAACGCACTAAGCACTTCTGTCTGTACATCTGCAAACAGACCAGTCCCGTCTGGTATCATAGTACAACTGCAGGCTATGGAAGCAAAAAAAGACAACAGATCACTGTATATTACATCAACACAAAAGCTTGACTCAGTCCACGGTATCAACACTACTTTCCTTTAACAGGAATTGAATAACAATTACATTATGACCTGTATCACTTACCGAATACACACACCCAAACTCACCCAAACTGGGGTTGAATGAAAAGTAACTATGTCACAATTTTCCACGCAAGCCAGACCTGAAACAAAAATCATGACATGGTTAAGTACTTTTTTAGAGAGTGCCCCCCAAAAATGACCTAACCCACTGTAAACTTTAACGGCTTTGTTGTTGGGGGGCCACATACCTAAAGGGCCTTTGTGTGACATTTCAAAAGGCTGCATCACAAGGTCATGGCAGAACAAGGGGTTTACAAACACAGAATAGCACTTGTGTGGGGTTTGTTTGTTTTTTTTTTTTGGGGGGGGCATTCAATTCTATAGGTAAACTATAGCAGACAGGAGATAAGTTACCCGTGGGCTGTCAGACAAAGGGAACAGTAGTTGGCATCTGAAAAGGTAAAGAGTAGTAGTCCCTGACGTGTCAGAGGCCTCATCGTCAGTGGGAGAGTATAAAAGGACCTGTAAGTGTGTCTAGGGCTATGGTGCTCAAAACATCCACAGCCATGGGAAAGGTATGAGCCTAGCGCAAAATGGTTAACAGGTTTGACGGCGGTGAAGAGGGGAAATGGCATGATTTTGTAACGTGTTTGTAACAGGGAGAGAAAATGCAGCAGAGGGGAAGAGAGGCAGCAAGAGTAATCATTCAAGTAAAAATATTGACTACAAAAAATAGAGTGGACTATTTGAGGATTTATCTTTGAGGGGAAAAACACACATATATGTGTTTAAAAGGGAACCATCTGTGGAGATCAACAATTATGTGGTATCCAAAGATAGACAGATTCATTGTATTTGTATGACAGCAACAATTTATGGCTCCTTAAATTTGAGAAGCTGACAGTGTGTTCAGATTGGACAAGCATACAATGAGTTGTATTTTAAATAAAAGTCAGCTGAAACAATAGTTTCAATTGCCTTGATTTTCACCTGTCAAGCACTGAAAATAATATACAAGTGTAAAGCAGACTGGAGAGGCTTGTACTTTTGATGGACTCATGAAAAAGTAATTGAGTTTGTTCAAGGGAGAACAGTGTCACCTACAGTGCATTCATGAGTATTGCAACTAGTAAATGTATATACCCATCATTAACTTGAGTGATACATGCTTTTCTCTCCTTTTCCAGATTATCTTTTACGAGGGCCGCAACTTCCAGGGCCGTCACTGGGAGTGCAGCAGTGACTGCATGGACACCTTCAGGCACTTCAACTGTTGCAACTCCATCCGTGTCAGCGGTGGTCACTGGGTGGCCTATGAGAAGCCTCACTACATGGGTTACCAGTACATCCTTGGCCCTGGCGAGTACCCCGACTACCACAACTGGATGGGCTTCAACAACTGCATCCGCTCCTGCCAGATGTTCTCCCCTGTAAGTCAATCAAACAGACAGATAGGACTGGTAGTCCCCCCCACCCCCCACTACTCACCTTGTACATCAAATGCCGCTTTAGAAATGGATGTCAATCACTGGCCTTTTGATGTCATTTACAGATAGTCAGACAGGTCATAGCACAAAAGTCTCTGTTGCAGGGCCCACAAGGAGACCCAGTCAGCCTTTAAAAGGAATATGATACACCCCCCATAAGACTTGGTGCCTTCATTCTAATTCTGCTAGTCACATTGAGTGTTTCTGGCAGTTCAGGGAAGAAAAAAACCTCTAATTCTGTCATGCTGTGAAAGAGTTGTTGCTCATTCTCATCTGTAGTTACTTAAAGAAAGCAAGTAGTAGCAGTACTCACTTGAATTCAAAGTAAAAAAAATCAGCTGGGGGCAGAAAGCACTACCAAAGTGCTCTCTAGGGTTCACACCTACCAAAATAGCATAATAATCATGTTCTGATTTATTTCACACACAGTATAGAGGATCCTACAGGATGAGGATCTACAACAGGCCTGACATGATGGGACACACCATGGAGTTCATGGATGACTGCCCCAATCTGTATGATCGCTTCCACTACCGTGACATTTACTCCTGCAATATCATGGAGGGTTTCTGGATCTTCTACGAGCACCCCAACTACAGGGGACGCCAGTATTTCCTGCGCCCTGGAGAGTACAGGGCTTGTGGTGACTGGGGCTGCCACAACCCCATGGTGGGCTCATTCAGAAGGATGAGGACTGTCATGTAAACTATGTGCTACTCAAATGAACATTAAACACTTGATTTTCAAATAACAATGTCCTTTTGTGAGCTTATTTGAACAAATTCATGCAACATGCAAACATACATCTGAAGTGCAATAACACTACAACCAGTAAATTTGCTTCCTACTTATTCTTCATTTTGAGAAAAGCCTGCTGCTCCTGCTTAATGGTCTATGTTGCTATCAATACCTTTTAAAAGTTAACCTTTTCTCTTTGCTTGCTCTTTGGTCTGCATGTAGGTTTCTGGCATTCATTCCAATAAAGGCAGATGCTGCAACTCTTATTGTAACCCTTTGAGAAAGTGCAGTTGTACAGTATTTTCCATAGACAGACAGAGCTTTGATAGAAACAAAGAGGCTGCTGCAGCCCACCAGTCCTATAGTGCTCTGCAGTCTATAGAGCGTACTGTGCTGACATGACAAAGCTTTGTTTCACATTTGCAAAGCCCTGATCCCAGCAGGGTCTATAAAGAGGTCTGGTACAGACCAGCATCTGGTCTGGTCTGAACTTTACACAGTTACAATGGGCAAGGTAAGTGTGCAGTTTAAAATCTATATACATAACATTTTTAAGATCTTCATTGAGTTATGTAGGTAATGGTCAGTCAAAGCTGCAAAATAAGACTTTAATGACGTTAAATGATGACTTTGTCTTCTGTTGAGGATAATAAGAAAATGCAGTTATTTTTTTGAGCTTGGAGACTTAATTCCTGTAAAAACAGGCCAATAGTTTTTTCTCTGCATTGAAATATACAACATGCTATACTGTATTTTATTCCATTTTGCATCAGGTACACCATTTGGGGCATTTTTTTTCATGCTCTTTCTGGCTTAACTATTTTTAAATTCCTCACTTACAATTATTCTATGCAAGAGGTTTGCTGAATAAAGCTAACTTGCAAACCTGGCTTAGAATACCAAATGGTATGAATATGAAAACCACGGAGACTAAAAGTCCAAGTTATTTTGGTCATGAAGAATATCATATATATGTGTGTTTGTCTTTGGCATAGCCCTGTGGTTATAATGTTCATCCATCATATGCAGATTATCTTCTACGAGGACAGGAACTTCCAGGGTCGTCACTATGAGTGCAGTACTGACTGTCCCGAGATGCAAAGCCACTTCAGCCGCTGTAACTCTATAAAAGTGGACAGCGGTTGTTGGGTGGCCTACGAGAAGCCCAACTATGGTGGCTATCAGTACATGCTGCCCAAGGGCGAGTATCCCGACTACCAGCGCTGGGCAGGCTTCAATGACTGTATCCGCTCCTGCCGTATGGTGCCACCTGTGAGTTTTAATTGATGCCCTACACTGTTTGAAGCAATGTTCTCACTACAGGTTTCCTGTAGAAGTGCCAGTTTAGGATCATTTAGTTCTCAAGCCTAATCCTACTGATTTCACCACTCAGTGCCAGTATGTGGCTATTTTAATATATCCCTTTTTGGCTTGACCTATAACTGCAGTAAATAATAGATTGGGTCATTAGATTAGGTCAAGTTTTGTGCAGTACATTTTTACCCATCAGTTTATATCAGATTGTTATGCTACTTATCTGTGGTAATGTAAAGTTTAACAAATGCTTATGGTAAATGGCAGCATCATCTTAGTCTCTCGTCATTTCTTCCCTAGTATACTGGGAACTACAGGATGAAGATCTTTGAGCGCTCTGACTTTGGGGGCCAGAATATGGAGCTAATGGACGACTGCCCAGATCTGAATGAGCGTTTCCACACCCGTGACATCTCCTCTGCCAATGTCATGGAGGGCTACTGGATGCTGCATGAACACCCCAACTACAGGGGACGCCAGTACTTCTTGCGTCCCGGAGAGTACAGGAGGCACAGCGAGTGGGGAAGCACCAGCCCCACCTTTGGTTCTCTGAGACGTGTCACTGAGCTCAACTGATTCTTTGATTTTTTTACCCTTATTGAGCCCCACTATTAAGCTTTCCACCCTCTTGTTCCCCAAATGTTAACACTGTTTCAGTATGGTCTCAACACAGTGGTGTCCAAACCTGAAATCATACATTTTAATAATGGTGGTTTTGGTGGGTCTGATGTTGGGTTCTGGTTTTGTTGGGTTGCTTTGCATTGTTGGGTAAAGTTCCTCCCCAACTCAGTGCTCAAGCAAGCAAGCTCACCATAAATAGTGATCTTTTTTTGCTTTGGTCGTCCCATTGCAAAATGGTTTGCCTTGCCTGTCCCTAACCTCCTGTCCTACTGGAACCACAATAAACGAAAACTTGATGAAAGTCAACTAAAGGAAGCCTTTGTTAATTTTCTATTGACTACTACAGCTGTCACTATAAAAAGATCAGGGGGATATGGCTTTTCATAAATCTGAGGAATATTTTTCTCTTTAGTATGGTGATTGAACTTTAGTTTCATCAGGCCACAGAGTTAGATGTAGAAGTGTAACCACTGAGGTCCTAGTAAGACCAAGAGTTTCTACAGTTTGCCATGATATTGTCATTCTACATACACAAAGAAAAATTATCAAGGAAACAGAAGCTTATTCTTTGAAGTTCGATATTAAAGACCAAAAAAGGGTATCTGAGGATGAGCATGTAGGAGTCTTTATGAGATCACATGGTACAGAGTAAGCGCGTTGGGTCCATGAAAGATGCCCATATTAGATCCACATCACAGGGCCAGTGCCAACTCAAAGAGTTGGAGTCAAAGTGGCCTGGTATTAGCCCCGAGCATCAAGCTCTCTCAGAACAAAAAACAAAACCCAGTCCACATCCCCGCTCATGCATTTTTCATCAGCCCAAGACACTGAACCCTTTCAGAAATAAATATCAATTATTGAAATTGTTAATTAGATGCTGCGTAATTGGCAAAGATACACATGAATAAATAACTTTGACCATTAATTATTGATTCAAAAAAATTTGAAGCCCAGTGGGGAGTGCATTTGAGAGTCTGTTAAGATCAAGCACAACAAGAAATATGAGTTTTGGCCTTGAGTAATGTCCAATTAAAGGACTGTCAGCTTTGCTGTACAAGTCCAGTGATTTGCCCTCATCATCCTTTTTATATCTGTGGACAACAATACACAGCAGACAACACAACATCAACAGGGTGTACGTAGGATCTGATCAGCTGGGGTCTGGGGGCAATGTCAGATAGGAGATGAGAGGAAATTCACAGGCTGCCAGGCCTCAGCCATAACTGGAAGTTAATTTAAGGTCATGAAGGGGCAGCAGCTTCAAATATTAACCAAATCCAGGAGGTAAGCACTTTAGACTTGCAGAGAACTACAGAAAACAAGTCTATGGTCATTTGTGGTTTAAAGTTTATGGTTAAAACCTTGCAAACTTCACATAAAAAGAACAGTAAAAGCAAAGAACCTGAAAACTCTGCAACTCAGCCTTGCTTAAATATTCAGTACAGTCACGTTGCAAAATCTACTGAGTTTTTCTTATGAGATCATTGAAATCTACCCTTAGTTCAGTTTTTAGGAGCCATAAAGTTGAGGAGAGAACTGGGGTCATCAAAACACTACGGCAATATAAAATATATTTCTTATGGACATGGTCAGCCTTCCTCAACTAAGATCATCAGTTTGTAACATTTTAGTGGAGCATGAGCATGAGACACTTTGCAAATGATTTCTCTGGGCATTCTGAGAATCGTATATACAGAGTTGTCGCAGTTCATTACCAGAATATGATTATTTCAATTCAGATTCTGAGTCCTGAGGAATTTCAGTCAGTAACCTGCCTATGGAAGCTTTACATTTCACAACAAAGCACTTATCGGTGTTCCGTTATTACTTAAAGGACCAATGGATTTACTGGCATATGGCAGTGAAGTTGTAGATTGCAACCATTTGAATACAAGAATCCAAGGGTGTAGAAGAAACTACAGTGGCCATGACACTCGCAGAAAGCCCTATCTAGAGCCACTGTTTGTCCATTCTGGGCTACTGTAGAAACCGGGCAGTTCAACATTGCAGCCTACATGGAAGCTCCCTCTGCAGATAAAAACGGCTCAATCTAAGGTAACAACTTTTTTAAGTAATTATACACTGATGAAAACATACCTATGAATACTAATACCAATAGATCCACCTAAATGTTACACACTGGAACTTTAAGTAGAAAACTGGTGTAAATACAGCATCTGGGTATAACACACTTGCACCTGAATAGCTATTGTTCGTAACAAACAACTTTGATGCATGTTATATTGTAAAATAAAATTCTATGCATCAAACAGGCAACACTCAATGTCCCAAGATTGTTCCATTTCTACCTCAAGTCATTTAGATGATATTTTCAATCGCTTCATACATAAAAAAGACTAAAGAGTGAGATCCGAGTTTTGTCTCCCTCTTCATCTCTGAACCCTTTGGACTTGGTGATGGGAAGCTGATTGAAGGGTAAGTAGTGCGTTTTGGAGAATGAATTCTTTAGATGCTAGAAAAGAGAAAGAAAACGAAAGAAAGAGAAACCAAGAACATAAGCCTGTGATTCCATTATTAGTCTCAGTTCTCCTTCTCCCTCTTTTCATTTCTGATGGCTGGATAATTAAACCTCTATAGTATTGTCTTCCATCTTCCTTGCCCCACTTCCAGCAATGCGAATTCCCCTATGGGCAACTTTAAAAAGGCCCTTTTTAGACATCTGTTTTTCAGATCAGTACGACTTTTTTTCCCCTATTAATTTGTGTTCTTTGTGAAAGTAGAAACACAAGTGCCAGGACAGAGATGAACATATGTGTGAAAATCTTCAACAATTCAACTGCAAAAATCAAAGAAAGTAAGGAATATATCCAAAAAAACCTTTTCAACCAATTTTTTTTATTCTACAATACTGCTATTAAACAACCCAAACCAATCCTTAAGTGTGCATTGCAAGACATCAGATAGGAGCTCAGAGGCTGGAATGTTACAGAGCTTAATTTAAAAGCAGTCGCACTCACCCCTCCAGCTTGAAGGAGGCAGCTTGTCAATTACTGTTCCTGCTCTGACAGGGGCTTTGGGCGCCACAAGGAACAAGCAGGAAAGCAGCAAAGCATAGAAAAA